CACCATTGATTGGATGTGTGCCGGTGGGCCCATTCCCACTGGCATCTTTGACAGCTTCACTCAGGCAATAGGACAAGAAAAGGAGCCAACAAAAAAAACTCAGCCAAAGAAAAAAAAACTCAGCTAAAGAAGAAGATATCGGCCCACAAAACATAAATCAGCCAACAAAAAAGAAATCAGCCCAAGAAAAAGAAGTTAGCCCAAGAAAAAGAAATTAGTCCAAGAAAAACAAATAAGCCCAAGAAAAAGAAATAAGCCCAAGAAAAAGAAATCAGCCCAAGAAAAAGAAATTAGCTCAAGAAAAAGAAATTAGCCAATGAAAAAAAAATTGGGCAAAGAAAAAAAAAAGCCAATGAAGAACAGAAAAAATCCGCCAAAGAAATTGAAAAAATCAGCCAAAGAAACCTGGCATATGAAAATTTACATGTGTGCTGAATTCTTGTGCACCAAGAAAGTCTGGTTTCTTGGGCCGATTGCGCGTTGTGTGAGCTAGAACCCCTCATGACGAATGATCACGTGTCTCAGATTTTGATTAGTATTTTTCTTTTCTTGTCTCAGCTTTCGATCAGTATTTTTATTTTCTCTGAAGAGTATTACTTTTGGCCGCCTTTGAGTCTGACTCCCTCGCGATTGTAATTTGGAGTTGGGGTGATGTATTGTCCTGAAGCTTATCTTTCTATTAATTTGAGAGAATGAATGAGGGGTTACTGATCAGTGATCTAAAAAATCTATGCAGCAGGTTGAGAGTCAAGTGTGTGCTGGATGATCTGGCAAAGCAAGAAAGAGCTTACAATACGTTTTTTTTTGAATAATCCCTCTGATTTCTGATCGGGCATTCCTCCGGACGGGCTGGCCGTCCCTGAACCGAAGAGCCGAGAATAGTAGACTATGCCAAAGGAACTCTTGAAACCCAAATAAACGAGGAAACGAATTCCTAGGACGTGTGCACAGGTGAGTAGCCGGTGGTAGGACTGAGTGTAGTTATTTATCCTACGCTGATTTCATGATGTTTTTTTTGATCGCCACAGTATATGTTAGTGCGCAATTGAAGTCATCTCTGAAATGGAGGACTCATCTTCCCGTGCTCCGATTCTTAGGAAACGGAAACTGAAGTATGTCAAGATACAGACCCCTGCACGGTAACCAATGCCACCAGTAGACTACTCAAGCAAGTCTTTGATCGTAAGTTCGATCTTCTCCCTTTTTGGACTAAACCAGGCTGGGCCTCGGCTCCTGACCTGTGAAGTTACAACTTAGACTAATCCACAAAATTGCACCCTGAATACCGATGTCACAGACATCGAGGCACAGGAAGGAATACAAGTCGACCCTAACCAGGCGCAGGATACCGTACACACCTCCTTGATGGAGGTGTGAACACGATGAACTGGCCCAGGCATACCCGTGAGTCAAACGGATGAAATCAAAGCTCATGAGAAGCTATAAGTTAACCTCTTTGCTTCATCCTGTCTTCGTCCCCATCCGCGACTCCTTGATTAGAAATCCATTCGCAGATCAACTTCCTCATACCTCATTCATACCCAAAGCCCAAAACACTTTTCCTTCTCCTTATCA